GCCCACCCCGAATTGTTGGCAAATTCAAATTTAAAATTAACAGCGACAGCGCGTTGTTATCTTTCAAACGACCAAACTGCAAGCCAGTTCAAACGACCGACTGCAACAGCAAGCCAGCAACCGGAGAGCGGCCAATAATGGGGGTAAAGTGGCTCCGGAAGCATGACTCAATGCATGACACACAAGCCGAGTCGTCAAGATAATAGGATCCTCATCCCGATTTCGATCGACAACAGGATAAAGAACAAGGGGAACAAGTGGATTGCTTACGAGCGAATCAACAAAAAGGGGATTGCTGCGAGCGAATCCAAGGTATCGACAAAGGGAATATGGATCCAATCGACAGATTAATGCAATAAAGGGAAGGACTACCGATGAAATAATGAGAGGAAACTCAGGACTCTGCACCAAGGGATAGCTCATTCCATTGACAACCATAAGGGATAGACATATAAGAATAAGAATGAGTAACATCTCATACCTCGCATGCTACCATGCGACAATACCATTGTGGATTGATTAATCTAACGATCTAAGAGATGTAAAGTTTGTATTTCCAAATAAGTGAGCAGTTATTGATTATTTTCTAGAATAGGCCCGCAATTTATAAAGCTGTAAAGCTGAATTGTAAGCTGTATCCCGTCGCATAGAAGACCGGAAGTGATCATTCAAGTGACACTGGCTTGATTTATGGTCAGGGTTCGGGTTCTAACACAAGCTTGGCTACTGTAGTCCCCGCCCATGAGCCGTCACCCGATCCCAGCGGCTACGAGTGCCCATCAAAGAGGCAACACTAGAGTACAGGCTGAATCCAAACTATCGAGACAAACGCAAGCCCGATCCCGGTAAGACTTTCGAATGCGAACCGGAACCTCTTGAAAAGACTTAGAGGACTCGACTAGCCTCAACCCTAAACTCAACTGACATCACTCCACTCCGATCGATCGATCCAAGCCACTCCTACATCGTGTCCCTGCTGGCACAATGAGCTACCGTCGTTCTCTCTGGGATGCCGATGGTGCACTTGCACTCTTCCGCTAATTTTGCTCCCTTGTCCTTCCTGGCTTTCCTCCATGCACCCCCCTTCCCTGCCCCCCTTGTTTTGCCCTGCTCGCGTCCTCATTGCTCTCCCCGTATGCCCACCACACCAGCCACCCACCACCGCAGCCACTGCTTTGCCTAGCCTCGCCCCCCCTCGCTCCTTAACGTATCTATTTAGTATTTATTTTACAGCCACTCCTACATACACCTCTTCTTTCATTATTCGATCGATACCTCTATCTTTACTCTATCAAGATGATGCTTCCTCCTCTTCTTTACAGCGGCTACTCCTCTTAACAAAGGCTACTACTCACCACCATGACAGGCTCCTCTTGGTTGGCTAGGCTGGAAAGCGGCAGCAGCAGCCGTTCGATCGTTCGGTCGTTTGAGATTGATCCTCCGTTCGACGGATGACTTCTTTCTTCTTCCACGGAGCCTCTTTCACGGAGCCACCATGACGCCTCCTCTTCAACGGAACGACGACGCCTCTACCGCTAATGCAACAACAAGCGACTACTACTGGAACGACAAGCGACGCCTCGACAATGGCACTGGCTGGAAACAAGCGACGGCGACTTGCTACTTTCGGTCCACTTCCACGGATCGATGAATTCTTCCTCATTTCACGGAGCGACCATGACGCCTGACGCCTCTTCGTCCATAAAAGCAACATTGACAGCTTCTCCTCTACTGTTTTGATTGACTGTGTGCAAACAGGAAAATCTGCTCAATTTTTGCCAACAAAGAGCCAACAATCCTCTTTGAAACTTTGGGATGGGTCCTCCAGTCTTCATGCAAAGCCATCCACTCCTCTAACAGGCTCTACAGTGTAGATTGGGTGCTGCAAGTGAGGACAGGAGCACCTTTCCCATGGAGAAATGCATGGCAAAATGACAACAAAATGAATTCCAAGCCTGGTTTCTCTCAGAGGCTCCATGGCAAACCTTGGAGATAGCTAATGCTTTTCAAAGGGGGTGTCTGTGAGTGTGTTGGGGAGCTAGTCCTTTGAAAGCATTAGCTATCTCAATGTATTGGTAAAGCTAATAGCCATTTGGTCAACACTGTTGCCATGGTGATAAAATTCAATTTTATTTCTTCATCTTTACTTTGTTTGGATCCATTCTTTTCAATGCAGGATTCGCAAAATGACATCTTCTGTTAGAAATGACCACTTTTGATTTCGGTTTGGCCAAAACGAGAATCCATTTTGACACCTGTCAGCGGTAAAAGAAGTCATCCTGTAGTCTAGCTACTCTAGTCCAGGAGCAATGATCTAATGATATTTTCAGTAGTCAAAAATGGTACAGTCGTACCGGTACCGGTACCGGCATGCAATAATCGGTACTCCGGAGTACTCAGTGCTATGTCATAGCTATTAGTCTAGTCGGTAATGCATGGTACCGTGGTACTGTACACGTGTTGACTTTCTTCAGTGATACCAGTGAGATTTGGTTTGAACAGCTGGGCCTCTGCACTCGGCACGTCCGAGAGTTTCCGCGTTTTTGTTGGCATTCGGTAGCCTTTGGTGTTACACAGACTCCTCACTCACACTTTTAAGATAACTGTAGGGAGTAATCAAATATTCTACTATTACTAGCTAGTGCCTACCGGTTCTCTAAACCCCCGTCAATTTACAGAAATGTTAAGGACCCCTAGACACTCAGATTTCCCAAACCAGTAAGATAAGCTACAAGTACCCTGTCTCAAATCCTAAGCTAGATCTAATGCTAATACAGTACTATTTGGGATGTGAGGGCAGCTACCAGCAGGTAGTACCCACTATCTCCCACCTCACCATCTACATCCAAGTCCTCCATACCGGTATCCCCATCTTGGGGTGCCTCCTCTGCCACATCATGTTTGGTTTCATCAAAATTTGGCTTTGCACCTATGCCTTCTAGGGCTTTGGTGTTGGCTCCTCACTCTCTGCAGGCGTGGTTAGTAGTAGGCTATGTGACAATAGCTGCTAGAGCTATAAAATATGAAAAATTCTTAGATTGGGCTTTGCGTAAGATAACGACCAAGTGTGGCTGTTGATGAATCAAGCAAATCCTTTAAAGCCTTGAATCTCCACCTTTTAAAAAAGATACTTCCAATACTGGACTAAAATTATTGCTTATAATCAAGGTAGAAACAGACTTCCTTCAGTCTTACCAATGACATGAAATTTAATCGAACGGAGTTTTTAGTTTTTTTGGCAGACTTCTTTCAGTGATACCGGGAACATTGGTTGAACGCTTAGTTACTCAGTACATGTTGGCTGTTTCAGTAGTCAAAATGGTACTGAGGTACATGCACCAGCATGCATACCGCTACCGTACGGTAGCACTGGTACTGAAGCGAGCTGTAGTCCGCAATCGGACGTCTACTAGCCAGCAGTGGTACCGTAGACGATTACCCGTACCGTACAATACACTTCCTTCCAGTGATACCGGTGAGATGTGGTTTGAACACTCACGTACAGGCCTTGGCTCGTGGGTCGTCAGTCGTCAGCACGTCAGAGAGTTTCCGTTTTTGTTGGCAGTCCATGGTCATGGTGTTTCATACCGGTATACACTTCCTTCAGTGATACTGGTGACATTTGCTCGTGGGTCGTCATCACTAAGTCTTGTCCTCTGAATCCATTACACGGGCATTTCAGTTTTAGTAGTTTGCAAGACTTCCTTCAGTGATACCGGTGACATTTGGTTGAACAGATGTTGCTGTGTTGGTCCACAGCATCAGCATGGGCACACTGTACTGTACTACTAGCGAGCTTGTGCCAGGTACTGGTACCATGCATGTTGAAGCTTTGTGCAGGAGCAGGATTGGCTTGATGTGGGGCTAAAAGAAGGACAAGATGCATGTTTCTTAATTAGGAGCCCAGGGTCATCCTGCATCCTAGCATCCAAACGACCAAAGTAAACTAACTACTGAGTACTAGTAGTCAATTTTCCGTAAACTGTTTCTTGTGGTCATCTTCGCCAATCTCGGTTCTCTTGCGTCTGTTGCCTTTAAATAAAACCTTGGCTGTATTTTAGATTTTTATATCTACTCGTGCCACCATCCATTGAACAATCCTATGCTAAAAGAGTACCAGTAGGAAAGTGCTTTGCTGCGTACACGTACACACCAGTTTGGGATCAATCCCTCCCCTGCAAACAGTTGGTTGTGGGGACATAAATCTGAAAGCTTGGTTGAAAGAAACATCTAAAAATTGAAACAATGAAGACCTCCCTTATTCAAACTCTCTTCGTTTTTGCTGGCACAGTGAACTTGTGTCAGGGAGGTCTTAATGCCCCAGCTACTGATTCTACTGGTGATGGTAATCGATTCTTGCAAGTGTTGCTTCAGCCAGAAGAACTTGAGCAGACCTGTGGAGAGCTGAAGTATGCTCTGTTCATTGCTGTGGATGAAGGCCACTTGAGCATGTTGGCTCACCCCACAGTGGATATTCCTGAGGGCGACGTTGAACAAAAATGTGGACCTGTCTTGTTCCACCAAAAGGACCCTGCTACCAACGAAGTTGGCCAATCCAGCTTGCACAAGTTCGCCTCAGGTGCTCTCTACCCTCTTGGAGACCACAAGATGAGTGACATTGTGCAGGCGTTTGATTCCGTGCCGGTGTCTGATGCCAAGTATGATATTATAAAGCATCACTGTGCATTGTTGGTTCTCCAAATGTTGTGCTCATTGGAGATTCCTGTTAACCAGGAAATGAAAGATTGGGTGGGTGATGAGCTCATGAAGACGAACGAAGCCTGTGACCACATTGTTTCTCTTTCCCATGACAGTATCAACTTTGACTTGCTTGGAATTGCCCGCAATGAGTCTGCGGCAGCTTCGATTCGTACTTTGGTTGCCTATGATGCTGACATGTTCTACTGTGCTGCTACGGACAAGAAGCAGCAAGTTGAGTGCTCTGGTGCAAGCAACGTGTTTGGATTTCTTTCAGCTTTTGCTCTTCTTGCTGTTGTAACCGGATTCATGGCTTGAACACCCTCTGTATGTCAGCTATGAAAAGAATGAAAGTATGGCGAGCTGTGCCCTTCCAATGGAAGCAAAACGAAACAGAAAAATGATACATGTGTTGAGGATGGTTGTGCAGGATGAAGCAAGGCAGACCTCATCGGCAGCAGTAGTTAAAACAAAGAATTCTAAGTAAGCTACCCTTTCCCTCAAAGTGGTGCATTTGTCTTACTCTACCGCGACAATTAACTACGCTGTAGCTATCTAGCAAAGCCTAGCTAGCTAGCATGGTCCACTGTGTATCAGTCCGGCTTGGTTTTTTTCAGGGATCTGGACTCTTGGATAATAATATTAATAATAAATTAAGTTGCAAAGATTTACTCCTGACGCACGCAATACGTCCATGCTCGATCAATCATTGCTTCTCGAGCATCAATAATTGAAGACCATCGAGATCGATCACCATGGCCAAAACACCCAAGGGCAAGCCCAAGACTGCCACCAAAGGCCAGAGTGGTGGGGTGGCTTCAAAGAAGAAGAAGAAGAAAGCCCCTCTCAATAAATGTAAGCCAGATGTCGAGGAAAGTGAATGGGAATTGGCCGCATTCACAAAGAAAGCAGTTGCCTTCAATAAGGCGGAGCGCGACATGTCCGCGGTGCTCCAAGAGACTTACGGTGAACAAGTCCCTTCTATCGGACAATACGAAACGTTCTGCACTGCAGCACAGTTCGTATCGAACGGGACCACCTCGGGAAGCTTCACACGTATCGGAAGGCCCGCGAAGAAGTAGACTTGGAGAGGGCCTGTTACGGTGGTACTTCATCCACACTGGATCCTCGAACCGAGGAACTCTCCACCAGCAATGATCACGGATATACAGAGGCATTGCCTCCACGCAAACCAATCAAGTTTACTGAACAAACGTCCGCACCTGACGCTACTAGTACATTGTACCTCGGGACCTCAACCTCGGGAAGATTCCTGGTGTGGTACCTTCTCACACAACAAGGGTATCCCTGCTCCTAAGATATTCCTTAGGTAGCTTGTTCGAAGGTCGCCCTCTAGAATACAGAAAGAGGGAGTTGACATTGTCAACTGGTCAGAGCCATGAGCTCCCAACCAAGTCTCAGCGTTCACATGCGCTAACCCTTTTATCAAGGGATTGAGTGGAGTCGGTCGTGTTTTTATCGCCGACTGTCTAGCTACAACGATGGCAAGGTAGACAAAAGAAAGGGTACCGGTACCAGTTCAACGGATTCCATCGTTCCCTATACAATCTTGAAGTCATTGACTCAACCTGAATAGACTTCATTTCGAAGTACTGATCTTCAATGCCTGAATGACGTATGCTACCGGTATGATAGCATCAACATAATGATTACGTACATCAAGGCATACACTCTAGCTACTAGTAGTATAGATATAGAAGCCTATCAACCAGGAGGAATTCCGCAAAACCATCACCTTGAGTGGAAGCACCTTTGGTGCCCGATTTCATCCTCTGCGATGGTACCGGTAAGTGCCGGTACAGTAGCAGTGCACAACAGTTTTGCTCAATTCCACGTCCCTGTCGCTATCATTGCTGTATTGTGCAAAAGAGCGGTGCATCTGACGTTGTCTACAGCTCTTTCTAGCTATGTACGGTAGCTAGCATGTTTAGAATAAAGCGGACAGAATCGAATCAGAACTCCTGCTAGCTAGCGAAGGCAAAGCGAGTGAGTGGAGTGAGTCATGCCAGTACCCAAATTCTCAAACATACTCCTCCTCTGTCGAGCCCATGCCCACCCATATCATAGTTCACTCTCGCCCATAGTAACTTCTTGGAGAAAAAGTGTTGGAGGTACATCTACCGTACCGTAGTTTACGGAATTGCAAAACCAACCAATAGCCATACCAAGATTCGATTCCATCTCGTCATCCTGTGATCATTACTAGCCTCACCGGCTTTACGTCACCCAGGTTTCATCAGTCTGTCGTGAAGATTCGATTCGATTCGATTCGATTCGATTCTTGGATGGGTCGTGAAACAAACCAGCAGAACCGGAAACATGATGATTGCTGTAAGTTAGCACGTATCGCAGCGGAGACTGCCATGCGGATCGACGCAGCACGCAGCCCGCAGCCAAGGGATCAATAGCACAAATTTTTTTCATCATAAAAGCTGTCCTCTTTTAGGGTATAGGTGGATTATCTTTGATTGCTGGTAACTAAAAGGATCGTGAGCTTGTCGCCAGGACCACCTCGTCCTGTTGCAGCCATTATAGGGCTGCCCCGGTGCCAAAGCTTGGCGCAGCCACCCGCAGCAAATTTGCTACTATCAAGAGTATGACAGGCAAATCAGGGGATCCGGCACAACAGCAGCTGGATACACTTGGAGTGAGCGTTTCCCATTTAGAGCACATCTTCTTGGAGGAAATTTCTAATTTCACGGATACCACCACTGGAGATCCACTGTCAAGAGATTCCAAAATCTATCAAGTGGAGAATTTGAAAGGCCCTCCAGGTGTCATACGCCAAAAGGGTGCCAATACTCGCTGCCCAATCGATGGACGAATGGGTGCTGCCTACGTTCACTGCCTACGAGGAGAAGACCATGTTGGGGAAGCAACTAAAATGCTGAGCTATTCTTGGAGCTACACGATTGGGGATATTGTGGATACCCTTTCAGAGTTTTGCCACCAAAACAACCTTGATCCCAAAAGGACCTATGTATGGATCTGCTGCCTCTGTGTCAATCAACACAGGGTCGTGGAAAACAACTCCAAGGAAATTTCGGGCATGATATCACCTACAAAGGTAGATTTCTTTGCCATCTTTGGTGACCGGGTCAAGAAGATTAAGCATCTATTGGCCATGATGGCCCCCTGGAAGGCACCTGTGGCTTTGACGAGAGTTTGGTGCATTTTCGAGATATTCACGGCCCACAGCACAGATGGCTGCAAGGTGGACATTCTGATGCCACCCAAGGAGAAGTATTCTCTGGAGCAGGATGTCATCAACAATGATGGAGGTATTGATGCACTATACGAGACCCTGGGAAACACCAAAGTGGAGAATGCCAAGGCATCTGTCGATAGTGACAGGCGGGCAATTCTAGCAAGAGTTATATGGGGTGTGGGATACCAACCACTCAACCATGAAGTGAATAAGTTGTTGCGAGAATGGATGTTAAGTGTCCTGACTCAGTTGGTGGATTCTAGAGAAAACACGAATGACAAGGACTATGTGGATTTTTGCAACAGAATTGGGGCTGTCCTTAAGGGGCACGGAGAGCTTGATGCAGCCATGAAACTCCACCAGGCAGCTCTGACCATATGTGAAACTGTGTTGGGCCAGAATCACGAAGAAGCAACAGCAAGTACCTACCACAGCATCGGAAATGCAATAGCAGCCAAGGGTGACTATGATGATGCTTTGGCAAAACTCCAAAAGGCTCTCATTCTTCAAGAGCAGGCATTGGGCAAGGACCACCCGGATGTGGCAGAATCCTACAACAGCATTGGGCTTGTACTGACCGAAATGGGTGACTATGAAGATGCTTTGGCAAATTACAGGGAGGCTCTTGCCATGAAATTGTTGGCATTTGGCAAGCATCATTCTGATGTGGCCGTCGCCTACAATAATATTGGTTCCGTCCTGAATGAAATGGAAAACTATGAAGGCGCACTGTCCAAGTACAAGGAAGCTGTTGCCATTCAAGAGTCAGTATTGGGCAAAGATCATCCATCAGTGGCAACCACCTACAACAACATTGGTACTGTTCTGAATGATATGGGTGACTATGAAGGTGCTTTGTCAAAGCACAATGAAGCTCTTGCCATTCGATTATCAGTATTGGGCAAGGATCATATTGACGTTGCTCAGTCATACAACAACATTGGGCTTACACTTGAGGATATGAAAGACTATGAAGGTGCATTGTCAAGGCACAACGAGGCTCTTGCCATTAGATTGTCAGCATTTGGCAGGGATCATCCATCAGTGGCAAACACCTATAACAACATTGGTTCTATATTGTTCAACATGGGTGACTTGTCTGGAGCCTTGACAAAATTTGAGGAATGCCTCGCCATAAGGAAACCAGTGTTGGGACTAGATCATCCTGATACTGAGATTTGTCTTGATTGGATTGAAGACATCAAGGAAGAGTTGGACGAACAGTAATTGTTCAGAGCGAGAGAGTTCCGTTCACGAATTGCTGCATCCAACCGTTGCAAACCATGCAGCCAAAGACACGACGATGGCAAGCCAAGGAAGATTCAGTTCAAAGAAGATCACTGTGTCAAGGTGATGTACCCAGGCAATGACTTCGTCTTCCTGTCCGACGAGAAGTCGCTCCGTCGGTATCTTTGGAGGCAATTGATATATTTGCGGCTCTTCATCAGAACTACCGTATGCCTCCGTAAGAATTCCCCGGCTGACACCCGACCCGATGAGAGAAGATCTTCTTTTGGGAAAGACAACATGACGACGGCGACAACGGCTGAACCTTAATTCAGGTCGCTCATGGTGTTGGTTTGTCGCTCATGGTGTCGACTGAGTGGTTGGTTTGGATACAACGTAGGAACGGGGACTTGCACATTTCTCCCGCTGTCTCGTTGGTAATCAGCAGCTTGTATGGGTGTCCCAACCAAATGGTGGCTGCTTCTTCTGAGGCATATTTGCAACTACCCCGCTGCTTATTGACCTCATCAAAACATTCCAGAATATCTGCATGGATCCATGCCAAAGGCACTTGAGTGGCTTGATGCCAGAGAGGGAGAGAGAGAGCTAGTTCAGCAATACACTTGCCATGCTGTGAGGGACTACCGTCTCAATCAGGTACGGTTATTCAAGATTCTTCTTAGGGTAACGGTACAGTACGGTACAATATGCGCTTCTAGAGCTCTAGCTGGCCGAGGTCGCCTACGTATCGCTCAGGGATACCGTAGGCAGCTGTGTCTAGCTAATGAGCAACAGATTGAGATTGCTGCTTTCGTACCACAAGTCTCTGCACTGCCATACCGGTACATGTGTTTGGGTTTGACATTGATTGATTACAATACTAAAGTTAGCTGGAGATAGTCAATGAAGCTGTACATATGACTGTTGCTGCTGTTGCTGTTGAAAAAAATGAAAGGGCTCAAGTAGTACGTAAGCAATCTAAAGGGAGCAAAGCACAGCATGGCACGGTTGCTGTTGCTTGGTTGGTTGGGCAGTTGCCTGGCATGTCATGGCCAGCTACTTCAAACTAAGGCTCCTCTACCGATGCTTGTGTCAACGGAGTGGTGCTCTGATACTCTGGTTTCTCGTCATCCATGTCCAGAAGTCCCTTTTGCTCTTCGGGGGATGCTTCGGCGAGTTTATCGGTTGCCAGAGTTTTGATGAATGCGACACAGAGCATGTACCCCATGATGAGACCTGTTCCAAACAAGCTCCAAGTATCTAGATGGTCGTGTAGGAATGCGAGCTCAAACACATATGTCCACACAATCTGTGTCGATGTTGCCAAAGTGGCCTGTCATGCCAATGAGAAGAGAAAGGTGAGAATTGGAAAAGGTGAGCACTGTGCATGTCGGCAGCCTAGACCCATGGAGAAAGAAGTGGAGCATTGTTATGTTATCACACATGCACGCACCGTTGCCGCAGTCTCATTCTGAAGCCCCAGATTGGTAAAGAACTGTCCTCCGTATCCTCCAAATCCCATGAGTACGAGCAGGAAGTAATCCTTGACGGTGAACTGTTGAAAGTTTCCCCACACATTCCACTCCCCCAGAAAGAACCCAGATCCTAGAAAGCACATGGGGATACTGAGAACTCCATAGTAGAGTACCATGACAATGGCGTCGGCTCGATTGCCAATTTTGCGCACACAGACATAGGCAATGCCGGCCATGGCGGCTCCACCCGTGGTGACGAGCACCGCGAGTGCCTTCATGAAGGGATCCGTTTCACTGGCCACCGTATCTTCTACGTCCTCTCCTCCTCCAAAGAGCCAGGTGGGATGGGCAATAAAGGCGACGCCCGAGAGACAGACGACGGCTCCAATGATATCGAGTAGTTTCCATCGTTCTCCGACCATACAAACGGCAAAGGCGGCGGCAAAGGGAGGGGTGGTGAATTGCAGAGTGACGGCATCGGGAAGCGGCAACAATTGAATGCCAAAGAACCACGCACAAACGGCCAATGCTCCAAAGACGGCTCTGGAAACGAGCAAGAGTTGGACCTTCAAGTCGGCCGGACCGAATGGCGATACTCCCTTGCGGTATAGACTAATGATGGAGATGATGATCTGTATCCAGGATCGATAAAAGACGAGTGTGAAGGTGTTCACGTCCGCCATCAACTTGACCATGAGGAACATGACGCTGAAGGAAAAGCTACCCAAAAAGATGAGAAACATTCCCTTCAACGAGTGTTTCGGCTTGTGCGCATGCGGAGTAGTCTTGGTTGTCATGGTCGAACGCTTCTTTCTTCTTATTGGATAGTTGGTTGGATAGTGCTTTGGGATTGGGTTGTCTGGTTGCTGTTGTGTCTTGAATAGCGCAATACTATGATGATGACCTATGATTTGCTGCCGACAACACCAATGTGATGCATCCATCAGAGTCACAAACCCGAGCCGTGGTTGGGGTGGGAGTGCAGTTTCCTGCGAGATTGTGGAGTTCGCAAAGAGAACGGGATGTTTGCGAACGCAAATTGTGAGAACGCAAAGCTTTAAGCTCCGGTACTAAAGGCTATAAAGGTATTCTGTGGCAATTGGTATGAGCACCCGTGCCGTTCAGCGAAAAAAGAGAACGCGAAGCTGTACCTCGCAAAGCGAAGCAATGCGCAACGGGAAGGAAATGCAACACCAACCAAACCAAAACAAGATCGAGCTCCTTGTACTTGGAGCGTAGCACAATATAGGAATGCAGCCAGAACTTTGACATCTTCTTTCCATCTATCTTTAGCAAGCAACAGAATTGTTTTGTTTGGATCAGCCATCCATCAGCATGAAGGTCTCCGAGTTTATGATCCCTGCGGACAAGGTGGTGCGAGTGAGCCCCATGGATACCGTGCAAACGGTGATGGATCTCATGTTGGAGCGTCACATTGGCGCCCTCATTGTAATGGATGACGACGAAGCGGAGCATGGTGGATTGCCCGTGCCATTGGGGATCATCACCAAGACGGACATCGCCAAAGCTTACAAAACCCAAATACCCATTGACGATCCTTGCAAAGCCATGATGAACCAAGGAGAACTCATCACGTGCACTCCCAACATTGATCGAGAAAAGGCCGCACGCATTCTCAAGGAGCATCACACCCATCATCTCGTCGTGGTCGATGAAGAGAGTTCTCATTTTCTAGGACTCATCAGTAGCTTTGATATCACGGCCGAATGTGCCAACGGACCCGCATGGCTGTGGAACTTTTTGCCACGCAAGGAACTCAATGCACCCATTACGGAATCCCAACGTGCCGATGCTGCAGGGCCTGAATCCATCTTTCATCACAAGCATGACAAAACACAGTACGAAGATTACGTCGATCTCTTGGGATTTCAGTAAGACATTACTTACTCACTCACTCACAGTACACACAATTAAGAATTACAACTACGTGTCATGAATGCTGGAGAGTTTTTCCTCACTTCCAAGTTGCATGTGCCTGGGATCGACCTCAGCTCCACTGATTGAATTGAATTGATACGATGAGACGACCAATCACCTCTACCGTTGCAGACTTATAAGTTCATGTAGTCTAATACCCCTTAGATATACACCGTGTGCTTCCCTCGTGTAGTAGTTAGCTAGCTGGATGATTGGCAGTACCTTCCCGGCTTGATTCTTTGCCATGGGCAGGAATTGTTGGTTGTCATGCTGGCTCCTTCACCGCATCCATCTTCTATCTTCGTCCCGTTCAGGCAGAGCAAGGACAAAAGTCGGCTCCACAGCCACAAAGCCGGGAGGTGCAGTTGAACCACAAGAACCGTTGAGGAGTCGTACATACTTCCGACGGCACTATGCCGGACAGCAAGGGGTTCTCGTGCATGGCCAAGTCCAACAGACCCGAGAGTTGTCCCAGTTCCGAAGGGACGGTACCACTGAGATCGTTTCTCCAAAATCGTAAAAATTGAATGCTGTCGCCCATGCGTCCCAGTTCAGTGGGAATCGTCGACGTGAAATGGTTTTCGTCCAAGCTCATCATGCGCATCTTGTGCAGAACACCCAGTTCCGTACTCAGTGTCCCCGTCATGAGATTGCCACTGACATCTAGAAACTCCAACGTTTCACTCCAGTGACTAATGTTGTATGGAGGCATGGGTCCTGTGAAGGCACCGGCTCCAATGGCCAAGAATCGTAATTCCGTCAACCGTGTCAATTCGGAGGGTACCGACCCGGAGAGTTGCGCGCCTCGGGTATGAATCAACTGCAGATTTTGGTGTAGCAAACCAAGTTCCGATGGCAATGTGCGACAATACCATTGTGCATTGATTAATCTAACGATCTAAGAGATGTAAAGTTTGTATTTCCAAATAAGTGAGCAGTTATTGATTATTTTCTAGAATAAGCCTGCTAATTGTAAAGCTGTAAAGCTGAATTGTAAGCTGTATCCCGTCGCACTCCCTTACAGCTGAAATGAAGCTGGAGCAGGAAACGATAGGAGAGAGTCCCCAGCAAAGTGCTGAGGTAAATTACCATCCCATGAGGAGCTTCCGAATGACAGCAAACTGTGGAGCCGGAAGACCCTTAGTAAAAATGTCGGCCCGTTGTTCCAGAGTCGGAATATACTTAGCCACGATGCCCTTGACTCCCCGATATTGGACCTGAAGAAGTGTACTTCAATGCCAAATACTTGTTGCGCGCAGACATTTTGGGAACATTCACAAGAGACAAGCAACCTTGGTTGTCTTCGAACACTGTTAGAGCGCACGAGACTGTCAGTAATTACCGGCATATTCAGTTTGCTACCAATTCTTTGAGCAAAGCTCGCATAGGAAGCAGCTACCTCATTGACATTCTGAAAGCAACATACTCAGCAGCAGTGGAGCTCAAAGTAATATCAGTCTGTAGCTTGCTGGACCAGATAATAGGGCACCCAAACAGATCAGGACAAATCCAGTGCGAGACTGACGGACACAGGATCCTGTTCATCCTATATCCATACAATCCGGCAAGTCAGCATCGACCCAACGATCAAGTCCCTGATCAAGTTAGGGCTAAACAAATGCCTTTGTCATTGTGCCAATCAGATACGAATATACGTTTAATTGCTTGAGCATGGGAATGCCTGGGTATTGTGACTGAATCTGGCCACCTGGTGCACACTAAATGTGATGTCTGGCGAGTTTCGACGCAATAAAAGAAGCATCCCAACTGCAGCTGGTAGCTCCATCTTCTTCAATGGGGCCCCCAGTTGTCAGCTCCGAGAGGATCTTTGGCGGCAGGGAGAAAGCTTCTTGCTAGCGTCAGACATACAGTATATTCGATGACTTTATGATGAGCCCTTTTGAGTAAGCTCACATTGTCTCCTGTCTTTCAAAATTAATGCCGAGGAATCCAAAATGTCACCTTTTTCTTCCATGGTGAGGTCATATCCAAGTTTCTGGAGCTGCCCAACATAGGACTCAATCAGATCATTGTCTGGACTGAGCCAGATTTGGTCATCACAATAATTTAATACCAGTTGATGCTCCTTATGAATAAACAAACATGGGTCTGCTGCCGAGGTTTCAAACCAAGTTGGATCATCCGCGACATAGATGCTCATAAATAATTTAGGTGAATCGTCTGCCCATAATGGACTTGTCAGTTTCAAACACAGTCCTGTCCTTCATACCTGTGGGTCGATAGTACTGAGGCAATCCATGTACAGTGGCTGGTCGACAGGCTGAGGGCTTTGACAGAAAGCAAGAGTAAATCAACTTGTCTCGATTCCCATCCATGTGCAGCCGCAAGAAAGACCGGCTCTAACGGTGGCCAACCAACAAGTGGAGAGTACGCGACGCCTTCATAGGACTGAAAGTCTCCTCTGCAGACACCACTAGATTTGAACTTATTTAATTGTCCGTCTGTTACCTCTTAATTCGTTGACCGATGTTCCAGGAACGCCTTTAGTTGAGGGCATTAGAAGAACGTGTACAATGTGCCAAGTCCCTTTGCCTTCAAGGCTGGCAATTTCTTTGTCCATTGCTGCCCAGAATATGGTCTGCATGTGGTTCCCATCAGAGATTCCTTCAGAAGGGAGATCAGGGTCTTTGGAAATTTTGGCCTTGGGAGCCAGTGGCTTTGAAGAATGCAAGGATGAAATGATTCTCTGGGTGTTGGTCAAAGTGTGAATAACTGTTCACTTAGATTGCATCATTTGCCCTGAAATTGGAGGTTACTCCAAAGTTCAAAGCTAAAGCACACCTAGCAGGATGAAGGACGCGTAGATATTTTAACTTTCGTGGTCATGTGTCAGAGTCTCAGGCTTCTTGCTGTGGCTTGTTCTACTGGGATTAGACCGAGGGTCAGAGATTGGCTCG